TAATGATAAGATTAAAGTAAAAAATATTTATTTATTTTAAAAAAATAAAAAATAATAGTTAATTTAAGATAAATTTAAAATTAAATAACAATAATTATTTTAAAATAAAAAATAAATTTTAAATAAAAATTAACAATATATATAAATAGTTATGAAAATTTTTTCTTATATATTATTGTTATTGAATATTTTTATTTAATAAAAATTTAATTATTATTTATTTAATATATTTACTTTTTATTTAAAATTTATATTTAAAAAATTAAAAAATTAAATTAAACCTATTATAAATAAATAAATAAAATAAAACAGATTACGTTAAATTTATATTTTTTTTATCTCATCTTGGCTGAATTAAAGAAAAAGAAGAAGAAGAAGAAGAAGAAGAAGAAGAAGATAGCGCTAAAATAAATGTCTGTAGCGCCGACCAAAAAAGAAGTAAAAGGAAGAAAGTGTCAAAACCAAAAGGCGTCCAATCGGTTAGCCTGTCACTTAGTCTGTCATCCAATCTGAAAATGCCACGTGGTCAAATTCTCATCACATGACGTGTCAAGTCAATGGCTCTCCTCTCGTCTCCTTCCCCCTGACGATAAAAACAATCTTTCCGTTTCTCTTCGTTAAAATTAAAATTAAAAAAAAAACTCGCTCTCTCTCTCTTGTCCTTATTTTTCTACTTCTACAGCGGTGGTCGGACGGTGCCGGTGGTTAGTCGATCTTCGATCCATGGCGGAGGACAAATACAATCGGAAGAATCCGGCGGTGAAGCGGATCTTGCAGGAGGTTAAGGAGATGCAATCCAATCCCTCCGACGATTTCATGAGCCTTCCTCTCGAGGTCTGTTTTCTCAAAAAAGATCTCTTGTTGTTCAATTCCGTTGGACGATCCCGGAGCCGTTATTGAATGATTTATTGGTGAATTTAGCTGTTTGTTCCTGATGCGGTTAATCTTGCGTTTAAAAATTGTAAATTGTGATTTATATTTATTATTATCTTGGGAATGCTTTTGCTGAAGTCTGATTGTTTTGAATCGTAGAATTTCGATGTTGGATTCTTTTTCATTTTTGAGTTTCTATTTGGGGTTAAATTATCTTTTTTGCTTAGATATGCATCTTCAAAGACCAGAAATTTAACATTTTTGAGATTATTATTTATGAACCTGATTTGAAATAAAATGGGTTAATATCAGTTAGGCAATGGGAAATTCCTTTTCTTGATAGTTTGGAAACCTATTTTTATTTCCAATCAAAATGGCTAGGGAAATTTGTATCCACAAGCTTTTTTAAGTGTTGGATGTTCTCAACTCCTAATTAACAATATGATGGTTAATCCTCGTCAGTTATGTAATTAGCAATCAATTTCCTAATCGTTTTTCTTTGTCTATGCTTTCTCTGTATCCCTTCGGTTTCTGATTAATGACATGGCATTAGAAATTTGTTTCATACCGCGGGTAATCTCTGATGTCTTTTCATTTTGTTCCATCAGGAGAATATATTTGAATGGCAATTTGCCATCAGGGGTCCACAGGATAGTGAATTTGAGGGTGGGATTTATCATGGAAGGATCCAGCTGCCTGCAGAGTATCCATTCCAACCACCTTCATTCATGTTGTTGACTGTGAGTTCTTGCTTTCTGTAGAAGTTGCCACCTGTTATTTTCTCCGATTGTTGTGCCGCTAACAAGTTTTCCTTGGTTGTTTCAGCCTAATGGTCGTTTTGAAACCCAGACAAAGATATGCTTGAGCATCTCAAACCACCATCCTGAGCACTGGCAGCCATCTTGGAGTGGTATGCTTCTTCCCTCTTGAATGCAATATGACTTTAGTTTTTAGTTCTCTGTGGATGCACAGTACAATGAAATTTAAATTGAAGATAGTTTATATCTATGAGTTTGCCTCTGCTACCATCTGGTACAACAGAGCAAAAGTATGGAAATGGTCATTGTGGCACTTTTATATGATTTGTTTGTTTACGTAAACCATCCATTTAGACCTGACATAGACTTGGGTTTGTTTGATTGCATTTGTTAGCTTATTACCCACTGATGATAATGTAAAATTTTTACCTGATGAAACAGTATCATACTGTCATCTCTTTTCTTTAATTATTCATTCACATTAATTTGTAAGTCTAAAGTAGACTAAGATTGTTAGCATGTATTTAAATAGAAACAGATGTTTAAACCTGGCTAATATTTCACCAATGTTGACAGTGCGAACTGCTTTAGTGGCACTAATTGCCTTTATGCCCACCAATCCTAACGGTGCTTTGGGCTCCCTGGATTATAAGAAGGAAGAAAGGAGTGTCCTTGCCATCAAATCTCGTGAAGCTCCCCCTAAGTTTGGGACTCCTGAACGTCAGAAGCTTATTGATGAGGTAGAGCTTGCGTAGAGTCTCTCTTCTTGATGGCAAATTTTAGTGTTGGACTAATAAACCTTGTAATGCTGCAGATTCATGAATATATGTTAAGCAAGGCACCTCCTGTTCCTCAACTCCCTCCTTTGCAGAGTTCGGAAGAAAATCCTACCAACAGGGAGGGCGAAAACCAGGCAAAGCAGCAAGATGCTGGAGCTGCAGTTGCTGGGGATGAGCTCCCACATCCAGCAGGTGACAGGATTGTTGAAGAAGTGCAAGAAGAACCTGTGAATGCTATTCGCGGTGCTGCTGTTGCAAGGGATGCCCCTGCCAGGAAACCTAGTGATCCACTGCTTCAAAAGCCTGAGATGAGGGTTCAAAAGCCAGTTGATGATCGTTTGTTTACATGGGCTGCTGTCGGACTTACTATTGCAATTGTGGTTCTTTTGCTTAAGAAGTTCATGAAATCCAGTGGATTTGGTGCTGTTTTTATGGATGGATCATAGATCTATTGATGGTATTGGCATGTTTCGGCAGCTCAGTTCAAGAGGGGGAAAGTTAGAGGATTTATGTGTAGATTGGACCTTGTAATATATAATGCTCCTCTTGATTATGGCCAAGTATTGTAATTAATGGCATATATGTTAGTATACCAGCCACAATTGAATGAATTATTAATTTATTACACATTTATAAGCTTGATTATTCACATCTAGTAGGCAAAAGCCTTTTGGAGATGAGAGGAACCTGAGTTTGGCCTCCCACAGAACTTAGGACATGTTTAGTTGGAGAAATGGCAATTTCTTGGTCAAATTATAGAAGGCAAATTTGGAAATTGCACTGTTGTCACTAGATATTCAGAGGAATTAAGATTTATTTTCTCTAAATTAAGAGATGACGAAAGGAATAGCCTCTTAAAAAAGCTATTCGTTCTTCCTTTCCTAATCTAAAAGAAAATGATAAACTCTAGTCCCTCTCCAATTTATCCATTACTGGCATGTTTGCTAGTATGATTCACATTCTTGCTTTGGTTTATAATTTGACAATGAAAAGGCATTCCTCTAACCAAATGAGTTCTTAGAGAGTATGACATTACCATGATTTAAGAGTTTAGGAGTAAGATGGTTTGATCGTGAACCTTAATTAAGGTTGTTAAGATAATAAGTATTAATTCAGACTAACTTTTTATTGGTCATAGGCACACTTTTAAGTGTTACAGAAATTATCCCATCCCAATACCATTGCTAAGAATAGCAAGATAAACTACAAAGATATAGTCAAATCATTATATATATATATATATATATAAAGGTTAGTGCATATTAATCTTGATTCTCAAAAGAATTGAAATCTCAATCTATATCTGAAAACCAAAATCTTATTCTATTAAATGTTAATATAAAAATTTATTATATATTCTAATATAATAGAATCTAAATCTAAATATTAATATTTAATAAGATAACTTTTTAAAATTTGAATTAAGTTTTAATTAAATAAAACTACATAATTTAAAGTTAATACTGTAATTTTTTTGAGAATTGAGATTGATATGCACTTTTTTCATACATTTATTAATGCAATACTCCTCCACACTCACCACGTTAGGTAAACATGAGGTATAACGTATTTAGAATTGATAATAATCAACATGCATCAATTTAGAGACAGTGATTAAAGGAGAGTGCTAAAGAGAGTTTCACTGCTTGCTAACACCACTCAAGGTACTGCCTACTGAAGAACCCTGGTCCCAACAATTTCCTAGCTTGTGATAAGAACAAATGTACTTATCTCTCTCCATGAGGTACATGATTCTTTTACTCCAGTGTCCTCCCAGTCTCCCACAGCATTGTTTTATCTAAAAGCAGGTCGGACTCTAATTCAAGCATGATCTGTTCCCACTAAGTTCTGGGATTTTGAATTCAGGTAATCAGATAAATTTCTTTGCAATGGTTAACTGTAGAATTCATTCCCATGCAGTCAAAAGGAGCAAAATATGGAGAATGTTACCATATGTCAAATTAGAAATCATACAAACTAAAATGAGACTAATAATTTGCACCACCCTCTATTTTTTTCAGTTTTTAAAATTTTGGAATGACTTCCAAATGTTTAGGCAACAGAGAAGAACAGGAACTACACCTCACCTCAGCAGGTAATCAAAGGTTGCGTCTTTTCATGTATTGCCTTGTAACAATTGAGGCTGCATAGAGGAAGCTTTGACTTGGAATCTCGATACTTATATGTATTTGTACAATTTGGACCTGCGCATTTTTCACGCGGTGGAGGATAGCTAGAGGGGAAAAAAAAAAAAAACCCACATCATAAATCCCATAAATCAATCAGCAGAAAAACATAAGAAACCATCATCAGCAAAAAGGCCTTTGTAAGGTATAATGCAAAAGGTGGTGATGCCATGGTAAGAGGAGTTGCTTTGTACCTGCATGGTACTGAACAGAAAATATTAGGTAAACCAATATCTTCCGAGAATATGACAGTTGTTCCAGTAGGACCCATGACCCATCTGACTGTGTTTGATGCAAGTGTGTTAGATTTGGAAGCCTTCTCCTGCATCAATTAAAATTCATATTGAATTAGAAGAATGCTAAGAAGCAGGCATGAAGAATATGTAGTCAATCAATTTTCAAAGACCTGTGCTAATTCATCCCGCTGCTTCTTTATCTTTTCTTCCTTCTTCTTTCTTCCAGAATCCTGACCAAGTATTTTTCTAATTGCTTCAGCCTGGAACAATACAAAGACACTAAGGCACTCCCCAAATTATCTTTGAGCAATCAAAATATATAAAATGAATGAAAAGAAAACCTCAGCCTCCCTGGCTGCTTTCTCAGATTGCATTCTACGCCTCTGTGCAGCTTCAGCCTTCTTCAACTGTTGCTCAACATCAGTGAGCTTCTCCTGTTCTGTCATCATGAACCAAAACAAAAGGCAAAACATTTGCAAGTTTGCTTCATACAAATGGTGCACAATCAAAGACACAATATTTCAATCTAACTCATCACAAACCATCCAAATTTTTAATAGAAAGAGAAAAGTAAGAAGATAAATAGAATGGTATTGGAAAGACTGCTAACTTTTAGATGGGGCTGGAGGTAAACCATCTGGGAACTCAATAAGACTGGTACCAGGCAGAGATAAACCTTCCTTTCCAGACTGAAGGGCCCGATTACGTGTAGTTGGAGTTGATTCATTTCTTCCTTCCATGAATGAATCAATCGATCCCTTTCCTAGCCTCCTCCTTTTAAATCCAGAATCATCATCCGATACAGGTTCTTCTTCTTCTTCCACATAGTTCCTGTCATCATAAATACCTTGACCTCTCTCGTTTCTTACAATCATTTCATCTTCATAATTTGCACGACCAGTAGAAGCTTTTAGTCTACCTAGGTAGCGCATTTCCGCATCCTCCTGCTCCTCATCACTATCAAAACCCACATCCAAGACACGTCTCTTAGGAACCCGCTTGCTCTTACGAGTTGGCTCATAATTGTCTGTTTCATTCCCAGAAATACTTATGCCAGACACCTTTTTCCAAGAAGAATACCCCCCAAGGACAGAGCCACTACCAGAGAAAACTCCATAGCCCTTTTCTTTGTCAGAAGGATGAGGAAAATTGTCAGCTTTGCCCTGCAAAAACCATAATTTTATAACAAGTCAACCAAACACTATAAATTATTACTTGAAAAAAGATTAGAGGGAAAATTAACATCATAATATGATAATTGATAAGCACAAAATATTGCACAAGTTCCCCTATGAAATGAAATGGAAGAGAGAAAGCAAAAGAATTTGCTCAGATCAGAAAGACTTGCTATTTTAAAGTTGAGGATGGTAAACCTATTAAATCTACGGATGATATAGCTTTACAAGTACCAGGATAAAGGCCTTCCGATGAATCTCTTCACATTTTAGTGATAAATATTACAATATCAAAGAAAAGAACTACCAAAAGACCAAGGAAAAAAAAAAAAAAAAGGAACTACCAAACTCAATAATGAATTGCTGGTCACAGCATGGGATTCTTAACAAACAACATAAAATGCAAATGTTGGCAATCCAATGTTTTACAAGAATTAGAGCAAGCTACCTGGAGAAGTGACTTCTCAATTTGAGGAGCCCCAGAAAAATGAGAAGATTTTGCAACAGTGAGCACTCCACCAAAGGCATCCTCTGCCATTGACTTGGTGTGGATGGTATGTGTAACACCACCAAGCTTGAGCTTAAGCTTCAGCTTGTTGTCACTTCCTAATGCATTAGAGCCATTCTTAAAATGTTGATCTTCTTTGCTGACACTACCTATAGATTGCACCAATGATGATAAAAAGTTGTAACTTTGCAAATTTTCAACAGCGCAAGGTCGACGAGATGGAATACTTCTCTTCTTCCTTGCTGTACTGCCAACAGCAGCAAACCCAGCCCCATCAAAGCTTTCCATTAATACTATACGAGGAACCAAAATCTTTAGTTGGTCTCACTGCTGCTTAATACCAAAAAGATGAAAAAGGTAAGATAAAACGAAGGGAGACACAGGAATTCAGTATTTCAGGAAGAAACTAGCAAACACAAGGAAAGTCAGACTAATGCAGAAACATAATGCAAAAAACATACACGATAATATTAACCTAACGTGATTACTTAGGGAAAGAAAGCAAGAACACCAACCAAGAGATCAAAAAGTAAACTTCAAATCTCTCAATGTTGGTCACTTTGAACTTTTGATCTCACAAAACCATCTCAGGAAAGCTCTCTCCATTGATTGGTCCACTCACTCAGGTGTAAATCATGTATCATTAGGACCGAAACCGAAACAACCAGCAACTAAACTACAAAACCCTGAAAAGAAACCTCCCAACCCCACAACACCCAAAGAAACCATGACATCAGAGAGCGAAGCCACATTTTTTCACAACAAGCAATCAACTTTGTAGCTTAATAAACATTATCATGTCTCTTCAACCAGTTACCACTACACAGAGTTTTCCACAAAATCCCACAAACAAACTTTTCTAAAAAATGAAAATTGCAAAATAAAAAGGAAATGCAAAAACTTACCCCAAACGAGAAACCTCCAGAACCCTAAAATGACCAAGAAGAAGTCTGCTACCCGGAATATAAAGGCAGTTTTTTGAAGAGAAAAAGAAGAATTATGGTATTTCCTTTGGTGGGTATGAGGAATGGTCTAATAAATTTGTATAAAAGAGAGAGGTTTTCCCATTTTGAGAAGGGTTTTGGTAAAGCACAGTGTGAATGAGACTGCTTTATCTTCTCCATTTTTTTCATTTATTCGAGTTCTCGTAGTACGAAATTTTTCATTTTTTTTCCCTCTCTAAAGCAGAGTTTTTCTGAAACAGATACGGAGTTTTCAGGTTTTGGAGAAAGAGATTGGTTGAAGTTCAAGCCCATAAGTCTTGGATCATTTGAAGCCCAAATAGTAGATAGTGCCCACATGGGTTCAGTGACGAGAGGTTGAAGCCCAGGCCTTGGGTTACCCTTGCGTCTGGAAGGTGAGGCGGCTACAGCTACTTAAAAGTTAAAAAGCCCTAATGAGTAATGACATTTTCTAGAAGTAAATTTCGTGTTCCGAGTAACTACAACATGTAACCGAAGCTAAAAGATAGTTATTCTTGGAATTGACCAAGGTCTCAAAAGAATTTAGCTTTAATTACCTTTTGTACGTCCATAATTACTTACTAAAAGCATTTAATGGTAAGCAACTAAGTTTTAGCATTTCACATGAAGTAAGAAATTCTAACTTGTTATCAATAGTATTTAATAGTAAAATTTTTTATTGATATATGTAATTTAGTGATAACTTTTACTAAAGATAAAAAATATTAAATTTAAGTCATATAATATGTGAATGAAGTAAATTAAACGTTAAAAAGCATTGACTCCGATTATATAATTCAAAATAAAAATATTATTTTTATCATATAAATTAATGAGTAATTTTTCTTACTCTCTAAATTGTAAAGTATTTTTTTAGTGTAAAAATTCACTTACATATAAGTTTTATATATCATATTTATATAAAATGTTAAGTATTTTTTAAGAAAAAACAATTATTTCTAATAAATACAATAAAATATAAATAAATTTTAATCATTAAAAATAAACAAATAAATAGTTAAAATTTTATATAAATTTTATATAAATATAATATGTAAATTTTGAATATAAATAGATGCTTACTCTTTTTTTAAGTCTAAAACTTCTATGAATTTTTAAGTATTCACCTAAATCCTATCCAATCCTAACATTCTTTTCCTGCATATATAGGATCAAATTCATTGGGTATATATTCAATTGCATAAATAAAAAATTATTATTGTAATAGAAAGAGATAGGTTATAATTCACATTTTACAATTATTAGTAGAACAAGACACATTCAGGAATCACGATCATCTCTTCTAAGATGTCAATTTTCTGAAATAAAAAATATTATTTATTCTTAATTCATACAAAACCAAACACAAATCACACTAACGAAGTAGAATTCGATCAGTAGAATCAATCAAAGATGCTCCCATGCAAATACCAAACGGAATCAATTGAAAGTTCTGGAAATCACGGAATCGCGTTAGCAATGGCAAGAATATTATCAACCATGTTCATAAGATTTTCACCGGTGGCAGCCATCGGAGACACCCCTTTTGCATCCGGATCCGGCTGTCCGGTGAACCCATCATCACAGGAACTGAAATCAGATATGGCGGCACTCAACATGGTCTGGATGGTTGGGATGTCCTTACTCGCGATTGCATCCAATGCCTCCTGCAAATTATCCAGTGCTTCGTCATAGATATCCTTACAGTCGGCATAAGCTGCGGCCGTCTTCTGATCCAATCCCGGTGCAGATGCCTTTTGTGATAACGTGCCTTGAGCGGATTTGGTTTGTTGGGAGGCGGATTTTATCAACAACTCAATAACGTTTAATGGGTCCGTGTTACCGTTGAAAACAGGGTTGAGTGCTGATGTACAGAGCAGGGGGTAATCGGTTTTTTCACAGATCTTTTGAATCTCAGGACGGGGTGATGCGCCCGCAGCCATACCCCCCACTGCACTCCCCACCGCGCCCAATATACCATTGATGGAGTCTTTAACGGCGCCAGCTATGAACCCCGGCTGCTCCGAAGTGTGACTCGGATCTGCAGCGGCTGGAGATGGCTGAGGGGAAGAAGGAAATGAATTCTGCGACGGCTGAGAAGGCAGCGGGTTTGACTTGGGGGAGGAAGAAGTTGACGGTGTGTGATCAAACACGTCTAGATCACTCAAATTCCGGGGAACGCAAACGGAATTTGCAGAATTGAAGAAGATGAGAGAAAACAATGAGAACAGGAGCAGAATTTGATTCTCCATTATTATGGGAAGAATTGGAGGAAGGAAGGAAAGATAATTAAGAAGAAAATGGGAAATTGTAGTTTGAAGGAACATATAAATTGTGGAAAAACTTCCTGGTTAGTTTTTATTACCGGAAACAGACCGTTTCTCCAAGAAAACAGGATGACCACGAGATTGCGATGAGATTGCTGTTTCACATCGGTTTCCGAGGAGTTCGGCCTCTCTTACCCAACAATGTTCAATGCGGACTGCACCTTAAGACATTTTATCCGGGCGTGAGAAAGACAAAAATGAAAAATGTCACTAATGAATCATTTTAAATTGATGTTCTTAATTGTAGTATGGATTAAAAAAACCGAAAATAAAAATTTAATCAAGTTAATATTTATTAAATAAAATTTTTAATTTAGATTTAAAATTAAATATTTAAATCTTATAATGTTAAATAATTAATTCATTAATGTAGAGAAAAAAAAAAATAGCATGAACTAAAAAAAGACATGCCATCTTTGATTTACATCACCATAGTTGTTATCATCATCATCATCTTTGATTTAAGATAATAAAGTAAAATAATAAGAATTAGTATCTTATTTCTCAAAACTTAAGTTTTAAAATGTGATTATTTGAATATGAAATTTTTAACTTCTTCCAAGTTCTTTAGAGGTCTGAAGTTCTTTATTCTTACTTGTTCTTGATTTCAATTGTTAGTGAGATTTTTTGTTTTATTTTGGGATTCAATAGCAGCAAAGGAGACCTGAAAGTGGCCGTATCTTCATTTTCCAATTTCTATTCCTATTCATTTTAAAGTTTAAGTTTTAAAAAAGTCAATGTTGATGATTGAATTTGGTTGCAACAAATGAGGGCATGTTTCCGTTTTGCAATTTCATATCATTCCTTATATCATTGTTTGTGGAAACTGTGGGACGCTTTTCCGTTTCTGCAATGAGAAGTCTTTTGTGCTTAAGCTTTAGCTAGGATTTTTAAGTTTCCTGTTCTAAAATGGATCAGAAATGGCTGCAATTGTTGCTTCCGAAGCTAGATACAAAAGAAAAAAAAATACCAACAACGAACGCAAAAGACGAAAATTACTTTGGCAAAATAAACAAGTACAAAAATTTTAAATAACTGCAGAAAAAAACTTAATCTCCACAATATAGGTAAACTGCATGATGAGCAATGAGTTCGGCTAAAATAGCTGATCTAGCATATACAAATAACTGCATCAATGTGTCCGTGAACTTGAACCCTCTCCAATTCCGACAAAAGGGTTCACAAACAACTCCTCTCTACATGCCATACAAGATATCACTAGCCATTGCAAGGAAATTATCTGCGCTAGAAACGGTGCTTATTAATGGGGATGGGGGAGGGGGGGCGGGGTGAGGAAGTTAGGTCTTCACTACAGTAACAGGGCAAGAAGCATTATTCACAACATGGTTGCTTACACTGCCCATTATAACCCTGAAAAAAAAAAAATGAAAAATGAAAAATCAACAAAAAGGAAATCAAACCCAAATTAAATCCCAAAAGGACATATTATCAACCAGCTAGCTAGGGATGACTTACCATCCATTCAAGACATAAAAATGCATTGGCAATGTTAAAGCTTGACATTTTACTCGTTTATTTAGTTCTAATCTGTTAGGGATAGTCCAAAATTCCAAATGGTTTGAGACTTCAAGGAAGAGGTTTCATGACTTATCTCTTATGTTCAAATCCTAGGACTAGGAGGGATGAGACAAGGGTAAGACAAAAGTTCAAGGTGAGGGGTATTTCTTATTGTATGGCGTAAGAAAAACCAAAAAAAAAAGAAAAAGGAAAAAGTCCAAGTAGGATAGAAATGGTAGAAAAAAACTTGCTCTGGTGTTTTAAAAGTCCTTACATTCAAAAACTGTTTCTTAACTTGAAAAAGACTGTCCAACTTGGTTTCAAATCAAGGTCTCAAATTGACTTTGGCCAGTTGAAACCACACATCAAGGCATCCTAAAATATTCGTAAAGGCTTCAAGCATGATTCAACATTTTTAGATGCTAGATATTCAAATGATAGTAATGGGTAAGATGTGTAAAATTTTACCTCTTAAGGATTCCAAGCCCTCTGTTTCCTATAATAATGCAGCTGAGAGGGATACTATCAATGGCCTCACATATCTTTTCTCGTGCATCGCCCCAATAGATCTTCAACAGCACCACAATCTGCTCAAGTTCACAACACCAAACCAGAAATTACAGGAACTTTCATTTCATAGATATGAAGAAGAAGAAGAAGAAGAAGAAAATGACCTCTTTCTGCGCAGCAGCAGTGTTTACAATATCCAGGGTCTCAGGGTCAGGCTTCACTCCATACTTCTTCATGATGTTTGGATCAGAGAAGTCCGAAAGCTGGATCAAAGCTGCGCAAGAGTAACTAACATTTTATTATAAAAAAATCAAAAAGAAAATAAATACAAAATATTTTTAGGCTCTGTTTTGTCTATATATTGAAATTACAGGTCCATTTTACATGTCAAACTTTCTAAATCATGCAAAACGCCTAACCAAAAAAACATGCAGCATCCGGCTTCCTGCACAAAGATAATATTGTAATTCTTTATCTTTCTCGAGAAACAAACAGAAAGTAGACATAACAGGAAGGGAGAGAGAGGAGTACGTGAACCAGTGGCTTCCCAAAGCTGCATCTCGCCTTCTTCATAATAGGCTTTGGCGTGAACCGTAACCAGAATCAGATGATCGCCTTTCCGGATGACATTGTCCACCGCCCAGCGCAATGCGTTCCTGCTGGAATCAGAGAAATCCACGGCGACACCCACTCTCCTGCTTCCTTCCATCTTCTTTTCCTCAAACCGTATCTATGTGTCCGTTTTGATTTCTGGTGTTTCTGTTAAATGGATAAAGCAGACCGCAATTTTAGAGGCGGAGGAAAGACAAAGTCACAAAATGGGCCCATCCGGGCCCATGAGCCACGTGGCGGATATGAGTTTTTTAGTTTTTTTGATACACTTACAGTTAAACGCTTTGACCATTTTCACAGCCATTGGATGGAATCCGAATT